CCGCTCCACATGCGCCAGTTACCTAGTATATATATATATATATATATATATATATATATATATATATATATATATATATAATTATTTTCCTAACAAATAATAGGAAAATAAATCCTAATAAATTCCTAAAAATATCAGAAAAATTCCAGAAAATTACAGAACAATTCTAGAAAATAAAGAAACCATAATTAACTCTCTTGGGTCACAAATCCACCTATAGATTGATTTTAAAATATACATAACACCTATATATATCAATTAAAATCCAATAATCTAAAAATCAAATATAATAGTTTATACTTTTTAATTATTCCGATCTAACCATAATTTTTAAACAAATAAATTTAATTAAAGCCTTGATACTCAAGGTGAAATCCTTATGAGTTCTAAGAGGAAAGTTAGAGAAAACTCGCCTGAAGGTTTCGAAACGAAACCGACGCTTTAAGCTTTAATTATCTCTTCCAATTCCGACGTCCTCCTTTTCAGATCCGACCTCCTCCTTGTCAGCCCTTCTTCTTCCTCTCTCTCTGTCTGTTTTATTTTTCTAACGTGTAAAACCTTTAACCCTAAAGCCTTATGTGTATTTTTATACACCTTAAATTCCAAATCCTATTCCAACTAGTATTATGAATTAAAATAATAATCTTTAAATAATTTATATCTATAAACATATATATATATATAAATATATATTCCTTCCATAATTAACTCATTAGTTAATTAAATCATATATACTTATAAATATCAATAAATATATATCTATATATATATATCTTTCCATAACAATTATTAATTAATTATATTTATATATAATTATATATATATATATATAAATATAATTGATACAAAAGTGATCATTTAAATAATTAAATAACCACGGACCTTCATTAATTAACCCAATAAGGTTTCATACAAGCCCAAGACCACATCTTTTGGTCCAACTTTCCTTAAGCCCAATCCAATTAATTTAAATAAATAAGATAATTAATTAAATACAGAAATTAAAATAACTAATTACATGAAGCACATAAACAAACAAGAATTTACAACTAAGTCATATAATACCAATAAAATCAACACACCAATAATTCAATCAATAATCAACCACACAAACAATCAATCATCATACATAATCACGAAATATAACTTAATTAAAATAAGATAATTAATCTAGCACTCAATAAAATAAAATAAATCATTGAAAAATAAAATAAAATAATTAATCCTAATTAATAAATCTTTTAAAATTATCGGGGTATTACAGTTCAAAAGTCAAATTAGTCCACTTTTGGTTCCAGATGATTACACAAATGTTTCAACACAAAGATACAAAAAAATAAAAATAAAAATAAAAATAAATAAAATAAATAAAAAAGTGAAATACTCAGAAGATAAAAGAGATTTAATACCTACTTATCAAAAAATAAATAAACAAAGAAATTAATACTTGTAATTTGATTGAAAGTCCTGTAACTTTTTTGTCAATGACAGCTCTGGGTATGTTCAGAAGAGAGGGAAGATGAAAGACCTTTATCACATCTAATAAAGAAGCCGATAAACATGAAAAATGGAATGTGAAAGATTTTTAGTGAATGCGAAATATTTTTGCGTTATTGGATTGTGATTAAGGGCTTATTGGGAATATTACAAAAATATTTTATCTTACTATGGAATGGAATGGCCATTCCATAGGTTTACTAACGGAATGGATTTTCGTTCCCTGGAATGGATTTTTATTCCATTGGAATGGTAATTCCATTCCATTCCTGCACAGCAAACAACTGAATGGTTGGAATGAGCATTCCATTCCACTCCATTCCTGCACACCAAACGTAGCATTATGGGTTTTGTTTTATTTTTTTTTTAGGGCAAATCATTCCAGCCTCCCAAACGCCTCAATCTCTATTCTCGATCTCTCTCTCTCTCTCTCCAACTACAAACTATTATGGGTTTTGTTTTAATTTTTTTTAGGGCGAATCATTTCAGCCTCCCAATTACCCTAGTCTTTCTCCCTCTGCAACTGCAATTCTGTGTGTATGGGTTTTGTTTTAATTTTTTTTTCTAAATCAACTAATCAAGCTCTATAATTCTTGTTTTGCAAACTAATCAAGTTTTGTAATTAATTTATTTTAATCATCAAAATAATAATAATAAAAATTTCTATTCCAAATTTCTCACTCCAAATTTTCATCCCAAACACGTTTTGTTTTCATTTCAGAACACTACATCATAAAACACTTGTTCTGTTATAGGCTAGAGCATTACACTACACTACACAACACTTCCCAAACGGGCCCTTATATACCCAAATTAAAGGATATGGATAATATTTGCCCAAAAAATAAAAATAAAAAATAAACATTAAGCATATTTTTCTTATTTTGCCCTAGGCATTATGCTAAGAATAATTTGGCTTTCCAAATCCACACCCTTGCTAATTTCAAATACATATTTGTGTTGTGTGCTTGGCTTTTCAACACTTTGGGAACGAGAAAAATTTGATTGCGCCCTGTCTTACAAAAAGTGCACCCTACCAGTGAATCCCACCACGGGTGTGAGTGCATTGCATGATGCACCGAACGCAACCAAGCTTTTCTCCACTTGAAACAATGGAATGGGTGTTAGAATTATTAGGTCTATTAGAGTTTTAAGCAGTTTTATGTGAGCATAATAATAATTGCAATAAAAAGATATTTTTGAGTTAAAAATTATTTAAAATAGTAATGGCATAAAAGTAATTTCACAATTATCCAAAACAAAAGAAAGGTCCTATTATTTTTCACATCCAATATAATTGTAATTTACCTTTAGGGCCTTGTTTATTATGCATGTTTGTTTTATGTTTTTTTGTTTTGGGCTGATATTATAGTATTGTTTTAGCCATAACATGTTTAATAAATAATGATTGATTTTGTACAGTATCAAAACACTTCAAAAATAGTGACCAATTTGATATTTTTACATCTTTTTGTAGTATAGTAGCAATGGACAATATCAAAAAAATAAATATGTTTGAAAAACTCTTAAATGACTAATGATCTTTTTAATTTTGTCTAATATTTTAAAACTTGTAATACCTTTTTTTTTTTTTTTTTTTTTGTTTACTAAATATGTTTTCATATTTTTGCTTCTAAAAATCTTACTTTATCAAACGTACTTCCAAACACTAATGAACAAACTTCACATTAAAAATGTTGTTACCATTTCAAATGAAAACAAAAACACAAAATATTTTCGGTTACCAAACATATCCTTAATTATCTTGATTTTAGAATCAAGCTCCACTTGTGTCATTTACAAAATATCCGACTAAAAGAAATTCACTTCATTTTTTATCCTCGAGTCACACTACTCGGGCGAGCCTACATATCCATATCCTTCAATGAGCATGTTCTCATTAAGTGGATTTGTGTGTCTTTTTTATTTTTTTTCATAGCAAGAAACATCTACCACTCATAAACACCCAAATATATCAGTTTTATTCAGCTTTTTACACGTGTGCCCTGAATTGTGATTGACCAGACAACAACGTAGAAGATATAATAATTTCTCTTGTTGAGCTCCCCCAAACAGGCTCCATTAGTCACGTTAATAATTTCTCTTGTTGACCTAAATCCACCAAGAAAAGATCCAGATTTGTTCAAGCTCCATTTATTGATGAAAAATTTAAATAGAATATAGGGTTAAGTACAAAAAAATCCCTGATATATAGGGTTTGTGCATATAACCCCCTACCCAATTCCTCACCCCTCTCTCTCTAGAGTTAGAAAATGGTTAAGTGGTTAAGTGTGGATATCAATTCCTTATGCCTGTAATTTTTTTTTATAAATTTTTATCAATTCAATGAACACATAAAATAAAATTATAATTAAAATTATGTTAGGGTAAACACAAAGGAATACCCTAAAGTGTGTGATTATGTGTGGGGACGGTGGTGGCAGTTTTGCGGTAAGGATGGTGGTGGCCGGTTATGCAACCAAGGGCGGATCCAGAAATTGTCAATGGGATGGGCTAAAATTAAACATAAATTTAATAACACAATTTCTTAAGCAAAATTTTTTATTATGGCTTTTTTTTTTTGGGCTGGGTATAACCCATAGTAATAATCTTTATTTTATATTTTTTTTTGGGTGGGCTGGAGCTCAGCCTAGCTCTACCCTAGATACGCCATTGTGTGCGACAGGTATGGCTATATTATTAATAGGTTTAGAGAGGAGAGAGATGGTTGTGGGCAGTGGGAGAAGGTGGGAGGAGGCGACGACCATGGTGGGGAGGAGGTGGGAGGAGGCGGCGGCCATAGTGGGGAGGAAGCGGCATAAGTGATTTTGGGAATTTTGTTGTGACTTTTGGCAGACTTGATTTCCTTCTGGATATGGTAGCTCGCAAGACTGGGTTGAACACACAGAATTACCCGTGACTCTGGAATGGTTCTTTGGAGAGTTCCTCCCCAAAAGATCGTGGAGAAATGCAATAACAATACATTCTAGATTTGACTCAGATAATTAGCTTTTTTTGGATAAATAGTGCTATAGTGTTTGTCTTATATAGTAGGGGATTGTTTGGTTTCGATTTTTATTATATCTAGTTTTAGGTTTTTTTGGTTTAGCTTATCTTAATTTTATACAAATTAAGGTTTATTTTATTCTTATCCCAAACAAACATAATTTTACATAAATTGGATAAAAATGTTATTTTACATGGTTGGTATTTATAATTATTAAATTATTCAATTAAAGTGAATTATCCCAAACAAACATAATTTTACATAAATTGGATAAAAAGATTATTTTACATGGTTGGTATTTATAATTATTAAATTATTCAATTAAAGTGAATTAAAGTGAGAATATTATTATCATTTTATACCATATAGGTACTTATTTGTATCAAATTGATAGTATAGACTCTGTAGAGGGATAACTTTTATAACACACATGGCCTTTTTGCACTTTGTTTTTTATTTTGCGCTTAACCCTAAAATATATAGCGCCCCATTTCTGTTTATAATTTTCTGTTTATCTTTCCTACTAAACTAGCAACTCTCTCGTACTCTCTTATATCAGAATCACAGGCGAAACGTCTGTTTCACAAAATGTTCATCTTCCTCGATCGAATCCTCCGGCGAAAACGAATCACACTTTCTCTCTCATCCAGTCGCCACCTCTCTTCCTCTTCCACCATCTCTAGTTCTTCAAACCTCCACGAAAGGTACGCCTTCAAGGCCCCCCTCTCACTCCACCCTAGTTCTAACCCTAACCATCACTCCAAAAACCTAACCGAAAACAAGAACACCAAGAAGCAAAAGCCGCCGTATCGTCCGCCTTCGTCGCTCGACCGGGCTGGCCAGAAGCCGCTACGCTCCGACCTGCCGTTCGATTTCCGGTTCAGTTACACGGAAACGAATCCGGCGGTGAGGCCAATTGGGCTCCGTGAGCCCAAGTACTCGCCGTTCGGACCGGACCGAGTGAACCGGCCATGGACCGGGGTTTGTGCTCCGGCTGTGAATCCGCAAGTTAGATCTGTCGAGGAGGGGAAGGAGGACCCGAAGTTGGAGGATAAGAGGAAGTTGATGAGAGAGAGAATTCTTGGGGAGCCGTTGACGAATGCCGAGAGGAAAGCGCTTGTGGAGATGTGTCAGAGGCATAGAACAAAGCGGCAGGTTAATCTGGGTATGAATTTTTTATTTTTTATTTTGTAATGTTTTGATTATTTTGGAATATATAAATTTGATCATTGAATATTGAGTTTCGATAGATTAAAGAACTTGGGAAGACATTTGATTTGATCATAGTTTTTGGTCAAAATCATCAGTAACTGGGGTAGTGAAGACTGCCAAGTGAAATTGCTGACAAAATGTAATTTTATTTTTTTTATATTTATCACTCTGATGTGAAGCTTTTGTGTAGGTGTAAAAAGTTATGCTTTATTTAGAGCAAAGAAGTATTTGAAACAGGTGTCCAACTTCAGTCTGCATATAATTTGAAGATAATTATTCAATAGGAATGTCCAAAATTTACTCTTATTTGCAAGGATTTTTCTGTTTTTCCTTTTGTTTTATGAAGTCACAAATGATAAGAAATGCTTGACATTGAAAAGAGGCTGCTATTGGAAGTTCACATTCAACAGAAAAGAATTGTGCTGATTAGAAGTGTAGCTTATATATATGCATGAAAACACTAGTGTTAGAAGTAGGACCAATCAACTGATTTTATATTGAATGTCAGTGATAATTCTTTTCAGAAACTGAAAGAGTATGATAGCTTGGAAGTTTAGGGTCATCCAACTGTAATATTTCATAGTGTCACTGGTTTAGCAAAAAAATGCATCAGTCTAATTCCCTGCTCATGTTTCTTCTGTTGAGTATTGCTAGGACTGAAAGAATGCACTCTTAGGACATTAATGAGTTTCAAATGCCAACTTGCTCCTTTCTCTTTTATTAAACAGAATGGTCCAGTAGTTCTCCATAGATCTCCTTCTCTCTATATATATGTACATACACGCACACACGTTTTTCTCACTTTCGGCATTCATGTGTTCCTTTGCAGGGAGGGATGGGTTAACACACAACATGTTGAATGACATCCATAATAATTGGAAACATGCTGAATCGGTCAGGATAAAGTGTATGGGTGTACCCACTGTTGATATGAAAAACGTGTGCGCTCAGCTAGAGGTATTCTACTTCCTCAAAACTTGCAACACTTCCGTTTTTTTATTTCATGTCATTCTAGAAATTTTTTGTAAAAGGATAATGAATAGAGGAATTCCTTTTCGGAAGGCAGTTCATGCTTATATTGTACTTGGGTATCTTGAATTTTATGCACAGTGTTATAGTGTGCTTCTACCAATGGTTTTGTGTTAACGAGATGTTAGCATCTATTTCATTTTCTTTTCAAATCCTATGAAATCAATTATTTTTTATGTGACTGGTTCTGAGATTTTCCATATGATCAAAATTTTATGTGCATCTTCTAGGATAAGACATTTGGTAAGATTATCCATAGGCATGGTGGACTACTGGTACTGTACAGGGGTAGGAACTATAACCCCAAGAAGAGGCCTGTTATTCCATTAATGCTATGGAAGCCCCATGAGCCCATATATCCAAGGCTTATCAAAACTACCATTGATGGCCTGAGCATTGAGGAAACAAAGGAAATGAGAAAGAGAGGACTTGCTGTTTCTGCCTTAACAAAACTTGGTAGACTTTCTTTCTATCTAGTAGTTTTCAGTACCATTTATTTTTATGGTGTCTAACGCAAGCTGCAACTGCAGCTAAAAATGGTTATTATAGCAGTCTTGTACCCATGGTTCGAGATGCTTTTCTCACAGATGAGCTGGTCCGGATAGACTGCAAAGGTCTTGAAAAGAGTGACTACAAGAAAATTGGCTGCAAACTGAGGGTAGAACACTAACTTGGTCTTTTAATCATGCTCCGTGGAAGGTTTCTTATTTACCAATATGAAATATGTGTTATCTGATGCTCCTTTTTGTAGCTTATTATATGTTTTAACAATTTAAAAAAAAAAAAATAGTACTTGCATGTTTTCTGCAGACTGCAATAGGGGAGGGGGGAAGGGATGGTCTTTTTTTTAATCAAAATATCACGTGCTCCCATATCAAGTGATTCTGGATTGCTATTACTATTAGATGGTGATGCGGTTGAAGAATTTAAAAACAAAAAGAAACTTTTAGTGAGTTTTTTTTTTTTTTTGGTTTTTAAATCGTCATTTCATGTTCGTATTCTTCCCCTTTTTTTAACAATCAGAAATAAATTGAGAGAAAAACAATTAAGATGGGTTAGTTAAGTGCAACAACGGCCAAGAGCTACACCAATTGGGGAAAGAAAAAAAGAAAAAAAGAATGAAAGTGAAGTGATCATTATTGTGGGTAATGCTTGGGGAAGAGTAAGACTAGAGCTAACGTTGATTGGGGAAAGAAGTGGTAGAACGTGGTTTGCGAATCCCAAAAGTAGGAGCTGACACTTCACTGATTTCATTTCAATGCATTTCCCCCTCATTCATCACTAAAAGGACACCCCACCTTCCTTCTCTAACCTTAACTCTGATAAAGGCTTAAAGCATATAAACATATGTGCGTGTGTATACATATATATTGCTCTTCAATGAAAATCTGTTTGTTCATTATTGAGGGTTCCTTGGGGAAGAGTAAGACTAGAGCTTATATTTCTTATATTGGTCAATGAAGAGGACCACTTGCCTTAATTTCTTATATTGATGCTACTGAAGATTTTATTACTTATATAATGATAGTGTTTAAAAGATTTATTGAAAATAAAGAAAAGGAAAGAGGAAAGATATCTACCTTAACTTCTTTGGTTCATTTTCTTTCTTGACATTGTCCTTTGCAAACTATAACGTGACCTAATTCTTTAAGAAATGTTGATACAGGACTTGGTGCCTTGTATCCTTGTCACATTTGAGAAAGAGCAGATTGTTGTATGGAGGGGAAAGAATTATAAGCCCATAGAGGACAGTCAATTTCTTACAGATCGTGAATCCTTTGACAATCTAGATAGTGATTTGGTTAATGGTGCAACAACTAGTCAAGCACAGACGGACTCGAATGATGACAACAATCGAGAGGATTTTTACTCCGGCAGTGAATAACTGGTTCTTTCTTGCTGCTAAGCACAAGCACCATCTTGGTTCTCGGTTGCAGTGGATGCTTGTGTTGTTCGATTATCAGGTCTAGAATACAAAAAAAGGGATGAGCTTTAAAGCTTCGTGAAGAAGGGTAATGAAGTCAGATATGTAGATGATGTAATCTACCGGAATGCCCCATTTGATATAGAGGCCTTCTGTCCCAGTAACCATTAAACCTCATGAAAGGATCCATTGAAGCAGAGACTTCTGGGCTATCTGTTGTAAATCCTTCAAGTTGAGATTCTCACAGGCCTTGTGGCTAGCCAGGTTAGAGTTACTTTGGGTTGAGGGTATACTCTCTGTTTCATTTGTACTGCGTCTCTTTGTGCTTATAACTGAAACTGGGCTCTGAGAAATCTCACTCACTTGGATATGGTTTTGATTACCCATTTTAAAGTGCTAACCAACCCCACACACTTTGAAATCCATGTCAACAATGATAGTATTAAGGAAGGAACTGTGAGCTCTCTCTTGTGAAAATAAATCCCCAATCTCTCAACTTCTACCTATATAGTCTTCTGCACCCGTTTTTAACTTTCAACCGTCTGTCAATAATTTAAATATGTGAAAATGACTTATGTCCTGAATTAATAATATAATATTTGATTTATCTGTATGAATAAATAAGAAAATGATTAGATTCTTTTTTCCTATTATAAAAATAGTTTACGTGTCTTGGAAAAGCCTCTAGACGTTCAGTGGAGGAATGTTTATATGAGTTTGTGTCAGCTGTCCATACTAACGATTTTAATTAAACAAGTTACAATCAACATGTTCTTTTGAATTATGAGTTAAGTTGTTTATTTACACTAGTTTGTCAAATGCTAATCCATACATCATTTTTATTATTATTATTCTCTCTCTCTCTCTCTCTCTCTCTCTCTCTCTCTCGTGACAAAAATACATGAACGTCTTTTTTTAAATATATATATATATATATATATTGAGTTAATGGTCTCTTAAAGATTGACACATGCTTTATCAAAGAAAATAAATCAATCAAGCATTGTATTCCTATTATCATGGAAATCAAAAAAAATTATTAATCTACCATAATAGTTTTGCAGGTTAGATTTACTTTATTTAGTATTTTAATTCTCCACACTAAACTATCCAGTTACATATATATATATATATATATATATATACTTTTATTTTTATAGGTCCATTAAATCTAATAAATGGATAAATTTTCATTGATAAAATTTGAATTTTTAAAAATAAACCTTTATTGTAATTATTCCATTAAAATATTGATGACTAGTATTAATGTCAGTCATCGTCTCGCATTTTTTATTAACATAAAAGGTTTAAAGAATAAATAAAATAAAACAAGAATGTCAAAAATAAATAACTCTAATTACAGGGAAGCCCTTGATTTTTATAATTTTGTATTTGTCGTTCCTCCTCCCTCCTTTGTTTCTAGAATGTGTGAAAGTAATTTATTACACAAGCAATGGTCTAACCACTTCAGTAGTAGTTGTGGATCAGTGGCTAATTAAATTATCCAATGGGCCCATCTCTTATTAATTGATCCAATGGGCCCATCTCTTATTAATTGATCCAATGGGCCTATCATACCATAATTAAGAGCCTAATTTTATTGACACGTGGAAATAATTTCTTTCTTTTGCCGACTAGAAAGGTGATAGTGATAAGCATTGTTAGACAGTGATTGGATCTAGTTCTGTCATCTGACACATACCTCAAACTGGGCCCAATTCAAATCGTGTCGGCTTTGCCCCATTTTTATATTAGATAAAGATTTATGGTAGTTTTCACTTTTAATTTGTTTTATTAAGAAAAATGGTAAATGGGAACATCTTAGGCTCTCAAACTTATTATGTACGGAGTTTTTTTGGAAAAGTTCATGACATTTATATGTGTGGGTATTTATAAATTTGTAGATGTATTTTTTTTAGTAAAATCGTGAACGCTAAAAGGAGAATGAACAAAATGAATAATTTGTATTCGGTGTAGGGTATATCGTAACAAATGATATCGGAGCTAATTTCCAAGATGAAAATAGAGAGATGAGCATATCTAAATAGGGAAGGGCGAGAATGGGTCAACGTGACGTTCCACGTCACCCAAAGGAGAGAAGTTTCTGACATTCATATGCATAAACACCCTTTAAATACCCATTAACTATGTAAACGCATTTTGAACAAAATTGTGAACCATACTCAATGTATAATTGAAAAAATTACATAGTATATGCACACTTCAAAATTAATCGGAAGCACTAACTACAATTACTTTTCCTTTTAAAGTGTGTAGTTAATGATTGTCATGTTCTCGCGTTAATCAGTTATACAAATCCATAAGTATATCTATCAATTTTTTGATCCAAAACAACTTTTAAATATTTTGATATAAATCATTTCAAGATAAAATGATATTACATTCTAAAAAAATTGAGGCACTCCAATTCTTGCCCCAAATCAGTTAAAGTAGTAGCAATATCATGTACCTAGTTTATATATAAAGTTCCTATATTTCACTTTTCTAACTTGCATAGTTCACTTATGGGTAAAAATAGGATCATTGGGTGGCTATAACCTTGTGATTAAAGTTAGCAAAATCTACTTTAGATTTGGGATCTTTAATTTATCTTGTGCGGTGGGGTTAAGTTGATAATATTAGTAAATGATATTGGATAATATTAGCCTCACCAACCATTCAATAGTCAAAAAGAGACTAATTTTGTTGGTTAATCCGAAAATCATCATTCTTAAGATATTGTAACATTCACATGCTTGTATTTTTTTTTAAGGCTTTAGGATAATACAGTGACTAATTAATTAACAATAATTGATACTATAATTAATGAAAATGACATCTTATTGGTTAACTTTGTGTAACAAACAATTAGACTAGACTAAAGCAAGTTGCAAAATGTTGTAATATATTTAGAAAAATAAATTGTAGTAATAACATAAAATAAAACAAAAATTCAATACCAAAACATTCTCTAACAACTCTATAAAACTTATTTTAACATTTATAAAATGACATACTACAATGATTTAAATATTATTTAAATATATATATATTTCCCGATAATTTATTTAAATGATTATTTTATTTTCACTAGTAGTAGTACTTGCCAAAAAAGGGTAGACTCTTTTGCCACGTGCAAATCGCGTGACCCACTTATTATCGAATACACATTTTTCGCAAATCGGACGATTGAGAATCAAAAAAATATTGACACCACAAGCATATAGCACGAAAAACGCTACACTGTCTGAAAAGCCTCTCTCTCTCTCTCTACCTTCCCTTCTTCCACACACGCTCTCTATAATTATCTTTTCTCTCTCTAACTTTTTGTAGTCTGCCCCTGGAGCTTTAGCATTACCTGCTTCGCATCCATCTTCACCACCACCTCCTTCCAACAATGGCGGAACACGACGTCGTCAGTCCTCTATTACCCTCGGACCGCTTCTCTCATTCGCCGGATGAGCCCCAAGTGATCCTGACCGTCGGCGACGAATCAGATTTTGAATCTATCGACCACAACTCGACCCATCAACAACAGCTTGAGAATCAACCCAGTAGTCAGAATCACCATACGAATGGCAATCATTTGGAGATTGAGAACCCATTCGAGTTTATTGGGGCCCGCGGGTTCTCCGTTCCCGGGTCGACCACCGTCGACCCGTTTCGGAACCAGACGCCCAGGATCGAAGGGGTTTATGAGTGGTTGAAGATGGTGATATGCTTACCCATTGCGTTGATTCGGCTCGTGTCGTTCGGGTTATGTTTGATGGTCGGGTATGTGGCCACCAAGGTTGCTCTTCAGGGTTGGAAGGATAAACAGAACCCAATGCCTAGATGGAGGTGTAGGCTCATGTGGATTACCCGGATTTGTACCCGGTGCATCCTCTTCTGTTTTGGGTAAGTTTGTAGTTGTAATGAATACTTTCTATATATGTATGTATGTATATGCAAATGTGTGTGTGAAAGACATATATTTTAGAAACAATTGTATTGTCTTGGTTGTTAATTGCTGGTATTGTGGACTGTGGAGAAAATATCTAGAGACACTAACAATTTGAAGAAACACCTACACTGACTAATTTGATCAACATTTTTTTCTTTCAGTTTCCAGGAAAACTGGAACTTTACTATCCCATTAATTTTTAGTTGGTCTTGTATTATGGATTATTGTTGGTTTTAATTATAAACCTATGGCAAGAAAGGGTTTACCTTGTTTGATGGAGAAGTGATGGTGTCTGAGTTTGGTTGCATTCAAGTATTAAAACCAATCTTCAGTCTGGCAACTTTTATGAAACCTCTAGAATTTTGTTTGAGAAGAGTTTTGGAAATTGGATTAGTATTAGAAGTGCCAATTGTAATGCAACATTAGTACATTTCTGATTATTGTTGTTCACCCACTTGGAGCTACATTTATGGGCATGTAGGAAAAAAAAATTACTATCAAATTTTGGAATGCAGGGGATTAGCAAGGAATTTTACTATCCTGAATGCAAATTTAGCCTTTGTTCCAACAGTAAAAAACCTACAGCCTTTACCCATCATTTACTGTTGTCAAGTTACAAGTACTATCTTCAATACCTGATTCTACTATATGTCATAATAATTATATGAACTATATTTATCTGTCTACTATTAATCTGAGACTTTTTCCGACATACCCATACCCAGAAGAACACTAATGATACCGATTTTTATGCATATTTACAATGGATTGATACTTTGACTACCTTTGTCGTAGTGGCTTTGGGTCTTACTCCCAAGCCCTAGGTCAAAGTTTCAAGACTGGTAGAGAGATGCATGAAAATGGATACTTTGACTGGAACTAATAGAACAAGCGAGAAACCACTCTCTAGCCTCCAGTAACTTGCTCTACAAAATATCTAATTAGGGTTCTCTTAAGTATGACGACCGGTTTCCACATATTTGCTTTTCATCATTCCTATTGAAGGACCTCATATTGACCAAGAGAAATGAAGAATATGAGTTGGTGATCTTGGCAATTACCAGAACAAACAGTGGGTGTGGCCTATTGATTGAAATATTGTTTATATGGGTGCATTGAGGGTGCAAGGTGCTTCTTTTGCGCTGGAATTCACTTCAGTAAAGTGACGGAGTTGTTGGGATTTATTCTCATATTTGATTATTTCATGAATACCACCATGTTTTTGTTATAAAATGGGGAATGAAGGATTGCAGAAGGATGAGTAGATGAAAAAAATGGTAAATAAAAGAAAACATTTTTTTGGGAATATTGATGAAATTTAATCTACCAGCTTTTTACCTTCGCCACTTGCCACTTACCCCACACAAAAGGCCGACCACCCCAAGACAGAAATTGTACTATTAGTTACAAATGATATGGACCACTATTTTTTTCAGAAAAAAAAAAAAAAAAAAAGTACAACCGGCAGTGGCTTTTTCATTATTCTTAATTTGTCATAGCTATTTCCACACATGTGATTTTCAATATGATGGATTTTTTTTGTCAAACACTAATTTTCATTTCTTAAAGGTTGGGCATTTTTGTTCGGGGTCTTAGTTCTTAAGTTGTTCCATTTAAGAAAAAAAAAAAAATTAAATTAATGTTTTTGCTATTATGAGTTGTTATTTTTTTTTACAAATTAATTCTGGCATATTAAGCTAGATTTTATTATTATTATTATTATTATCAGATAAGTACTCACACACACATTGCCCACGGTGAGGCTTGAACCCCTCCCCCTCCTCTTTGAGGTTGGGGAGGTTATGCCATTGGGCTAATGGCCCATTGGTCATATTAAGCTAGAATTTGCTTTTTGTGTACTCAAAAACTCATATTTCTAACTAAAAATGGCTATGAATGCATTCATATCTACGTTGAGACATTTATTTTAATTATTTATTTATTTTTTTGATAAGTAAAATTTATTGAAAACGCTCAAAAAAGGGGAGCGGAACCAATGATAACAAAAAGGCCACAAAGCGCCTTAAATCTTCAACGAGGCCAAAAATACAATAATCTCCTCAATGGATTTATAATCTCTCCCTGACACCCAACAAAAAAGAGTGGAAATAATAAAGAACTTAAGCGTAGAAATAGATTTCTTCTTTCCATCAAAATAACTCCTATTTCGCTCGAGCCAAATGCACCACCAAATACAAAGAGGCGTAGCCCTCCAAGCCTCCCGAATAAGAGCCCCAACAGAGACACCTCTCCAAGCCTCAATCAACCCTCTAGAAAACCTAGGCATAACCCAATGGATTCCAAATAATCCAAGCATCAAATCCCAACAATCTCTGGCCATACTGCAGTACAAAAGGAGGTGGTCAACTATCTCCTCATCACACAAGCACATATAACAATGATTGACCACCACCTGATTCCTCCTCCTCAAATTATCCTGGGTTAAAATCTTGCCTAGGACGGAAGTCCATGCAAAAAAGGCAACCTTAAGGGGGGCTTTAGACCGCCAAATAGACTTCTAAGGGAAAGAGCCTCCATAATCAACGGAAAGGCACTTAAAGAAGGACCTAACCTCGAACCGACCGTGAGAGTTAGGAACCCAAAACCAGCAATCCGAATCCCCAACAATGATCGCCTGACGGTACAAAACTTCCAAAAGACGAGTAACATCCTCAATCTCCCAGTCCTAAAAGTGCCTCCTAAACTGAACATCCAAGTCAGTTAAATGGGAAGGAAGCGTGAGGAAACTTTGAAGGAACAAGAAAAGCCCTCGTGACGAAGAGATATATATATAAATTATAAACCACTTAACTTTCATTTTGTAGTATTTTTATAGAACATATTATGCTCATAAGATTTTCTGGAAAAAAGTACGACGATTTTCTGAAGGACAAAACCCAAATTTTATTAAAATTTTGATAATTATTGCATGTTAAAAATCTTTTGGTAATAAATTCACAAGTTTTAACCTTTGCATATTTTGCTTAGTGCTAGTGTAGGAGGGTTTTAATAAGTAGACAAATGGTGAACCTTTTCTGAAACCCTCCTGACGTAGATCCTGAAATTTGGCTGAATAATATGAAATTCATGAAGCCAACCCCATTTGTGAATATGAATCCTAAGATTTGGTTGAACAATGAGAATAGATGTGTGTTGCCAACTCCAATTGGTTGGAATTTTATTTGGTTCAATTGATTTATAGTATTTTAATCCCCTTTTCGTTGGCATGGGTGACTGATGTTAAAATTTGTCTTATCCAACTTTCCCTTTTCAATTTCTATATATTTGTAGTTAAGGATATTTATCTTAAATTAACCGTGTTTGTTGAACTGCAAGAAGGTTTTGGCTTGTTAAAATTTTCCTTTTGCATCTGCTCAGTATAATTTAAATAGAGTATTTTTTGTGGGATGTTTCAGTTATCATTGGATAAAACGAAAAGGAAGACCTGCTCCAAGGGAGACTGCTCCTATAGTTGTATCTAATCACGTGTCATACATTGAACCTATTTTCTTTTTCTATGAACTTTTTCCTACCATTGTTGCATCCGAGTCGCATGATACCATGCCCTTTGTTGGAACCATTATCAGAGCAATGCAGGTAATCTTATATCTCCATACGGTATTACGAAGCTTTTTGCACATGGTAGTTACATATTTGGATATGTTCTGTCTCGGTAAATTAACTACCAATAATTTTTAGATTTAGTTTGCATTTGAATTTAATAAATTAATTGACATAAGAGTCATGCTTTCTGTTATTTCTGTCATTAGGTGATATATGTTAATAGGTTCTCACCATCGTCAAGGAAGCAAGCAGTCAGTGATATAAAGGTATGGAGTTTTTCTATATCTTTACTAGCTAGTTTATCTTGATTATTTTTTTTGCTCATCTTTGTCATGATTTCTTTTAGTTATTCAGGATGATGATTATTGTAATAAGCACATGCCATTTTCATTACATTCTTCTTGGATCATATGAAATGAAATAAAAACAAATAAACAAAACCCAAACTATTAAGTTTTATCAAACTATAAGCTATTTGATACAGAATTGTGCTTTCAAGGATCTGAATACAGAGAAAGGCATCTTGCAATAGATATCCTCGATTGCTTTTGTTTCCCGAGGGAACCACGACCAATGGAAGAGTCATTATTTCATTCCAACTTGGTGCATTTATCCCTAATTATCCCATTCAGCCAGTAATTGTTCGCTATCCCCATGTGCACTTTGACCAATCCTGGTAGGATTTTCTCTTGTTTCCAATTTGTTTAATGTTGTCTTTAGGAGTATCTTACCAACCTTGCTTTATGTGGTGTGCTATTCTGTTTAGGGGACATGTTGCTTTGGGGAAGCTCTTGTTTAGAATGTTCATGCAGTTCCACAATTTTATGGAGGTATACAACAGCATCTTTCTTTCTCTTGGCTTGCAATTAGTCCATATGCTCGAGGTGTAAAATCATATTTAGTTGCTACATTAATATGCATTCACTAATGCTCTATAATTTTGCTTATGATTTTATTGATCTCACTAGATTATCCATTGATCAGACACCCTTATGTTTTTGTTTTGTGCGCGCTCAAGACACGATTTTTTTTTGTTGAATGAATAATCTAGTGTTCAAATGATATATGTATACATATGAATTTGGTATTGTTATGAATCATGATAGGCCTTTGGATGATCTACCTTTTTGATCTCCTGAGAAATATTAAACTCATTCTCGAAATTTTCCTTTATCTAGATTCATTTATTTCTGCTGCAAACATCTGATGTTCATATATAATCCATGCATATGATTTCTTTTTGTTTATGTTTCCTTCTTTTTCCTCATCATCTTATGACATTAGTTAACACATTGTGTTTAATATATTTTGCTCCCCCCACCTTTCCCTGGTTCTGTTTCTTCTCTATATATTAGTGTGCATGGTGTTGATTAAATCTCTTTGTTACTCTTGGAAAAGTAGATTGATCTGGTTCCAATAAAGTAGTATGCTGGTTGTCATGATATTTCTCTTTCTATCCTGTTATTTTCTTTATTCATCTTGTAATCCAAAGTATTCCTTATAAGTAAAGTAAGATATCTAAGACCAGACAAAGTAATATCTAGGTGATCATATGAGCAATATCTTTCACCACATTTATGTATTGTCACTCTTCTAAAAACCTCTGATTCTGACTCAACACCGTTGAAAATCCTATAGTTCACTCTTGCAAGTGAAGTGTAACAAAGAGGACAACTATTCAATTATGCATATTACAACTATTCAATTATGCATGTTGTTAACCACCATCTACTCTAAAAGCTTAAGTTGTTAGAAAGGGTGTAACTTTAATATTTAAATCCTTCAACACGCCCCCCCTCATGTGTGGCCTTCTTTTGGTCCAACAAGTGTTTTCAATTTTAATTTTTAGGGTGACGGTGAGGTTTGAACAATTGAACTCAAGACCTTTGGCTCTGATATCATGTTAATCACCCTCTACTCTAAAAGCTTAAGCTGTTAGACAGGCTGTAACTTTAATATTTAAATCCTTCAACACATGAATGGCTTCCTCATTGGACTAAAGTTGGGATGGTATTTATACTCAAAGAAGCACGAACTTAGACATGGGATACGGGTACGACGCGATACACGGTTGATACGGCAAATCTCAAAAAGTAGGACATGAACACGGCAATAATACGTCCAAAAAACAAACAAATAAAAATATATTATTCTACAATTATTTTTAACCAATTTTTCAATAACACCATACACATTCTAGGGGATGTCTCCAATTTTTCTTTTATTCGTCTATATCTACACTTTTTTTCTTCTTCTTCCTCTTCTTCTACTTTTCCCTCATTGATTTTCCTTACACTTTGATATGAGAAGTGAGAACAAAGATAGGCAAAAGAACAAACAAAAGATATGAATATGCTTATGTTGTTGGGTTTTTAAGCTTAATTTTTAAATTTTTACATTTTTACCCCATTAGATTTTAAAATTTGAGCTGAGCCCAATGGTTTTAAAATAAATTATTCACAAATTGACCCCGATGTGTTCAGAAACGTGTGCCGGCTATATCTAAAAATGTAGACACTTCTAGCCGTGTCCCTGGCATGTCTGTATCTGACACTGTCGCGGCACCTTCGATGGAGTGTCCGTGCTTCCTGGGTTATACTTAAAATCATTCGTAATGTAAATAATGTTTGAGCTTCGCCAGGAGATGCCGTAGTTTAAGAGCAGAGTTGAACTAGGAGAGGTAATTTCCAGAGTGGTAGAGGAAGCTTTCTCTGGAAAGTTTGAAACCACAAAGTTGTTGTCTGCATTTATTTAACAATGAATTATCATCGTGTCTTTATACACTGTGCTGCGATAAATTGTTTAAAGCATGCTGTGGTGTTTTTGTACATTTCAAACTGAATATCATCCTAGAATCTTGTTTTAGACCATAGGTATGCCTTCCCATAGACCACATGTACACATTTCAGTGGGCATCCTCCTTTTAAACATACATGCGTGCATACGTACATAGCAAGCTTGCCCTTCTATTTAATTTTAATTTTAATTTTTTACTGCATTGCTTGTATTTAGCTTAAAATTGATTGAGGCAATCTATTTCAACATTGTACAGGTGGAATATCTTCCTGTTGTTTTCCCCCTTGAAAATCAGAAGGAAAATGCTGTTCATTTTGCAGAGAGGGTGAGGCTACGCTGATATTTTGATTTGCTCTTGTTTCTTCGTCATAAATATTGTTTTTTAATGTGCTTACACATCAAAGTGTCTTTATATGCAAATGCATTCCATACACATTGTGGCAATTATCTGAAAAGCATTATCAAGTGTATGCCCACTGCCCACGTGGCTTTGTGGAGTTCTTGAAGGAGAAGACTAGAGACGGACTTAACATTTGTTTTTACTTTGTAGAAAGTGGCTGTTCTGAGACTTGAATGCTCAATTTTGTGCCTGTCATAGTTTCATTTATTTACTGGTAGAAAATTGAATGTGTTCTTTCCAATATAAAGGCCTAATGCTTTATATTGTTAAGACTTAAGATGTTCTATCCAAGTATCAGACGTTTCATGTTGTATATGAATTACAGAACTGGTGGATGTTTGAACTTCCCAAGTATTGCAACTCATGTGTGGGCCCTGTGTGGTGCGTGTTTACACTCATGCCCATTAACTATTTAGTTTGTTATTTGTTGGACTTTATGCACATAGTCAACCAAGTTGGTCATCCCTTGTCAGGGTTTAAAAGATTATTTATTGTGCTTAAATGTTAAATATACACAAAAAGATTTTCATTCACGAGCTTTGTGGACCTATCTAGAAAAACTTTGGCTTTAAATGATAAATATACACAAAAAGATTTTCATTCATGAGCTTTGGGAACCTAGCTAGAAAAACTTTGGCTTGTTATTTGGTCCCAGTTGCATGCCATTTGGTAACAAATTAGGTTGCACTTAACAATTTGTGCCTCATGTAACTTCAGTTGGAAGAAGAGTTCTCTATTGAACCCAAGTAGTTTTTATATTTTCCCTTTTTGCTTGCTTTGTTGTGGTTGATATGTAGACTGTTTAGAAAGCGAAACCTAAACAAATTGGAGATCCAATCACAAACAATAAGAAATTACACACGAACACAAGATTTAATGTGGTTTGGCACAATCCGGCCTACATTCATGGATGAGAAGTGAGTCCACTATGATAATGTAGAGAAATTACAAAGTTAAGAGAAAAATCCAACACCGAACCGTGTACACAACTCCCACTCTAGGTTATAAAGGCTGATACCAGAGTCTTTTACATGTACCATTCACGAGACTCCTTTGTTGCCATTGGTGTATAATCCTCTCTAGCGACCCGTAAACCACATCTCTATGGGTCGTGTGAGGTAGAGGATCCAAGACCCTCGCACACCCAACTAGCTAGGTATCTATCTGTAGAGTCCTAAACTCAATTTCTTGTTGGACAAGGACTACAATTCGTTGGAGCCCAAGGCTTACCTAACAAGAAACTCTGCTAATAATAAAAACCTAATTAGACTAGGAATTTGAGGTCTTTTTTAACTCAATTCTTATAACTATCTCCTTGCGTAATTTTTGCAAATGCTGCTAAATGGAGTGGGAATCTTTTTCATCGATGTGATTATTCTCTTACAGTGCTGTCGAATATGGAGCTTTACATACATGCTTTACAAGCTGGCATGGGCATATACCCTTCTTTCTATTATGTTATTTATTTTAAATTATTACATTTATAATATATAAATTCGTGCCTATGCATGTATGCAGACTAGCCATGCTATTGCCACATCTCTCAATGTTATACAAACATCTCATTCCTATGGGGACTTAATGCTTCTTACCCGAGCGTCTCAGTCCAAACAGGTAAACATTTCTTGCTTGATATGCCATGCCTTCCAATGTCTGTTGAGCAGTGTGGTTCATTTCTACTATCTTTATTTGTTATCCTATTCAAAAATATAATGAAGTGTAAGTTTCAGCCCATAACCATTTCAACTTAATTTCAGGGTCCTCATAACAAATGAACTTAAGAGTATTATATATATTGAACCTTCTAAAATGTTGGAATTTTCATTGTTCAGTTGTTCGTGATGGACCAAATAACGCATCATATATAGTTCTTGAAGCACACTACTTAAGCTTGCAATCCACTTTTTAAAAATGATACGGTAGATGGAAGTAATGGTTGTCTAAATGATTATTTTAGTTTATATTGTAAACATGCATGGTACGCAATTGATTTAGCAGTAAATTGAAATGAGTATATAGGCAAATTGAGGCAAAAAAGTACTGGAAAAACTAAGTTGTCAGTAAATGGTCATGAACTTTTTCAGTATCTAGGAGATCTTTCCATTATACATTGAGTTTTGAAAGAGTTACTACTTAAGTAATGGATTGTTGTTTCTTATGTCTTTCGTTGTATACTTGTATTATGAGTTGTTAATTAAAAAGTGTTGAAGGATTTAAATATTTAAGTTACATCCTCTCTAACAGCTTAAGCTTTTTGAGTAGATGGTGGTTAACATGGTCATAGCAAGCAAGGCCCTTTTTTCAAACCTCAGTGTTACCTTGATAATTAAAATTGAAACACGTGTTGGACAAAAAGAAGGCTCGTGTTGAAGGATTTAATTATTTAAGTTACACTCTAACTGCTTAAGCTTTTAGAGCAGATGGTGGTTAACAAAAAGTTGACTAAAGAGTGAAGAGCACTAAACATTATGTTGCCGCTATTCTAAAGCAAGTGCCATAGTTGCATATTGATTTGGCAATAGCCAATATTGTTTTGTCAATAGGGATGCTGTAAACAGTATTTGAAGTCCTAGGTGTAATACTCTGTTAATGTTTGAGGCAACATGACATATCCAAGTCTAGAACAGGACACGTACACCTCAGTACCTCACACGGTCACATCTGAGACATTTCCCCTTAGGTGGTGCCGCAAGATGTTCCTCTAAATCTAATTTGGACTTGAGCTTTGCGGTGTGAGTTTCGTACACCTTCCCAAGCTTTGCAAGGAAGCATGTACCTTTGGGGTCCATATATATATTTTTTTAAACGGTGTTGCGAACTACTCCCTCCGTCCCACAAAAAATGTCCACCTTTCCATTTTTAGCTGTCCCAAAATAATTGTCCCACTTCTCCTTCCAATGCACTATTTTTTTAATATTCCTAACCTTCCATTTATAATGCACTATCATTGCCTTGAAGTTACAAAAGCAATTCAAGTTATGTGGACCCACCATAGAAGGGTATATTTGAAATTCATTACCTACCGCTATAATAAAAAAAACATTAAAAATACCAACTAGGAAAAAAAAAAAAAAAAAAAAAAAAAAAAAAAAAAAAAAAACTACACTCTCTTAAAAAGTTAGGTTCCCGAAAAGGGACATTTTTTTTTGGGACAGGGAGTATTATTTTATCTGCTAGTTTATTTTCTTACAGTATGCTTGCACTTGTGATGGTCAAGTATGTGCCCAGTTGGTCATACCTAATGTGTAACCTTGTTCCTGATGGACTATATAACTTTTTCAGCTATATCATTCAATGATTTATTAAGAGCGCACTTTTCTCTAGCCTTGAGAAATGGCTTTGACAGTCATCTAGATGCAACTTGACACTATTGGTTTCTTTAGCATCCCCGGTATTTTCTTGAGAGCTTTTGGCAAACTTTTTCATCTTATCCACCAGGTCCTTTGCATTCTTTTTAATTAAATAATAAATTAACTTGTATAAATTATTCAAGAAGTTGTTCATGTACAACAAATACAAGACTAGAAGAAATAAGGAAATACCTAATAGCACACTGCATTGTTCACAAAACTTTGTTTTATCTCTTTGCTCATGTTGGGGGTTGTTCTTTTATGGTTGCTTGGAGTTGAAGCTGTGTTCATTTAGTGATTCAAAAGCACCATGGTTATATTTTGCAGGAAAAACCCTCGCTTTACATGGTTGAAATGGCAAGAGTGGAATCTGTGAGTCTTTATTTTGAAGTACTTTTATTTTTCAGTTTTTTCTACTGTTTCTAATGATTTACTATTACTTAATATGAATTTTTTGTTTACTGGTAGACGTTGTCGTTAGTAAGAAACATAGAGAACAATTCCAATTTAAGAGGACAGCACTCATTCTCCTTAAGCTGAGAGCATGCTCTGTGCAGTTAATGCTTACCAACCGAAATGTGTGAATAATGAATGGTTCCTTCCTATGTTTATATAACTGCCAATAAAATGTTTCTTATATGTACATTTTTGGAACCAATTACTCCCTTTGTTCCACAACTAGTGTTGCTCTTCCGTCCCAAAATAAGTGTCCCCTTGGAAAAGTCAATGTTAAAAAGTGAAACTTTTCGTAATTATCCTTTAGTTTTGATTTTTTTTTCTTTCTAAATTAACAAGTTATATCCTTAAAATTTGGAGATCTGGTTTTGGAATTTTAACACATTAAAAAGTTAAAAGAGTTCCCAAAAGGGTCTTTTATTTTGGGATGGAGGGATTATATAATTAAGTATTGGTTATTTTTGAAAGATCTAATGTATAGCTGCTGTCTGCATCGTACTGGACCAAAGTGGATTGCATTATCCCCTAGCTACTGCATTGTTTATTGTTTATTACTGATTCACAGGCCTTTCTGTGAAAGGATGTGTATGTCGAACTCGATATCATTTGGTCGTTGGGAAAATGTTTCTTTGTGGGGGTTAGGATTGGTCCTTTTGGGTCATCAATAACGTACTTCACTGGGAAGTAGTTTTGAGGTCTGTGGTGGAATTACAGATCTTGTGAAGATGGAATTTTGTTGGTGGGACCGTGGGAGGGATGATTGTTTTGTTAAGGAGGATTCTGGTTCTTCTGTCAGACCGGTATCATGAAGCCATGAAGGTTCAGTTTGGGTGTTTTAGAAGATTAAGTGTTTTGATATGTCAAGGGTCTTCATTTGGCTTTATATTTGGTGTGTGGATACATCTGACTTTTGTCAACCAAACATTTGGTGGCAGTTGATACTTGATACCTTCTTGGTGTTCTTTACTGGACCAAAGTTGAGAGCATTTGGATGATTAGTTAAGATTCTAATTTAGGATGCCATCGGAGGATTTTTATTGTAGGTTTTCCATGAAGGAAATTTGGGGATTGCTCATTTGCTGGGGGGCTTGGCGGTGGAGCTGGAAGCACATACAGACAAAATTTGACATTTTGATCATCGAATGAGTAGTGGGTAAATGATGTCAAATTGATGCTGTATGTGCAAAGTGTGGCGTTAAATGGCCCCACACATCACATTGCCTGGTATATAGAGTTAAGGGGGGTTGGCTTTCTCAGTGTTTGGAGGGATGCTGGTATTAACTTCGTCAATGAGAAGGAAGTTTCTTGGATTTGGCAGATGGTTGGTGTTTGTGGTCGGCTTTATCATTGTTGGTAAGATTCTTGTTTGTGCGTTTTTTGGAACATTTGGAAGGAGCACAGGCTTGAAGAACCTCGGTAAAACTGCTCCCCCCCACCCCCTCCTCCTCCTCCTCCTTCTCCTTTTTCTTCTTCTTCTTGTGGTTAGGCGGGGGTTTGTTGGAGGCTTGGAACTTGATATATGTTATTGGGTCCATTCTCAAACAGTTTAAACTTTTGGGGTAGTTAGTGCTCAACTAAGGTTTCAGAACTTACAAGATGGGATTGCACGTGAGGGAGGGTGTGAGAAATTGATATACATATTGGGCCTATTCACTAACGACTCTAGTTTTACATGATATACATCTCAATTTGTATTGCATAGTATCAAAGCTTTGGTTCTGGGAGGTCTTGGTTCATTTATCCAATCTTCATGTATGCATTTGTTCCCTGGTTAGGTGTGTTATCGTCTCAGTTTGGTCTGTTTGCCTAGCCATTTGCACAACTTTAGCTTTTGGGACAATTTGTGTTCTAAAAGGGGTGTTAGGAAAGGGGGTTGTTGGTGGTATTGAGGTCCATGGGTTATAGGAGATTGAATTTTATGAATTTAGTAAACAGCTTATCTTTCAGGATGATAGCCTTGTATGTGGTATAACTTGGGTGTACATGGGGCATTCCCTTTCTCCGTTTATGTTTTAATTAATTTTCTCTACTTCTCAAAAAGAAAGGGGAAAAGACGAACAGTTGTTTATAGCACTTGCAAAACCATGAACCGTTTAAAATACTTGAAAAAAATTTCTTGATTTATGACTCATTGAGCCTTGATGTTTGTGTGGAACTGTTCTGACTCGAATCCTGATGGATTATTTTTATTATCTTATACTAGCTCAATTGAAATGAAAGATGAATTGAATTGTGACCCTTTATTTCAGTCCTTCCATTTAAGCACTTTGGAAGCTGTGGACTTTCTGGATAAGTTTCTTTCCATGAATCCAGACCCCAGGTATGGTGGCATGAAATTTTTGTTTCTAGTATTATATGTGAATTACATTTACTTATGGTGTATTGCTTTGATTGTCTGGACTACGAGGGAACCATAGACAATGTATTTCTGATCAAACCTGTTTGAATTCAATTTCTATATAGCAACTTTTGCTGTTTCGTAATTTTATGCATGAGTGTTTTGCTTGCTACAATTCCCTACTTGTATCCAAGGCATTGAACTCTATTAGACTTTCTTTGTTCTATGAAATAAGATTCACCGACATAATTTTTGATAGAAGCTGAGCGTTTCTCTCAGTGCTAGAGTGCTTCTCTCAATATCTTCACTTCTTTCCATTTTCAGTGTCAAAAGTGGAGTGCTAGAGGAAATTTTTGAAATAAATTTGGAGTGTGAGTGTTTTTGGACAATTATATCACATTCTTTGAAAAAAGCAAGTGGACTGCAACATTACAAAAGTGGAGTGGGAATATATTTTTTTTAGTTTCTCCAAATGATGCATTTATTGTTGTGAAAGGTTTGTACTATTAATGACTGTGCTGATGCAAGAACTCATATTTTCGCTATTTTCATCCTGGTCACAGTGGACATGTTGAAATCCATGACTTCTTCAGGGTTCTAAGATTGAAAGCTTGTAGGCTTTCTGAAAAGGTCAGTACCAAATAGTTGCTCTCTCTCTCTCTCTCTCTCTCTCTCTCTCTCTCTCTACACACACACATGCTATCTTTGTGCAACTCTTTTCCATCTGATTTTTTAGCAACAAAAGTGTGTCTGCATGTTTTCTTTGTTTCTTAGTTCATCTTTTCGCCATGAAACTGTAGTATAATATATACTAAATATAAAAGGGCATGAATTTGGGATTTGTGAATGGCGGTTTAATAGTTGTCACATCATAATTCAAAATTATATTATAGAGTATTAAAACCACTGTTTTGAACTCTTGATGTGTGCTTCATGGATGCATATTTCTCTTGAACTTGTTATTAGCTTTCCATTTTTCTTCTTTAGGTCATGCTTATTCTTTTGTTGTGAGGACTGGAACATAAGTATTACTGATATAGATCCAATGTGTGTGTTACAGCAAAAATTGAGAGAATGAAACCTTTTACAACTATGGAGCATGGACAGAAAACTAAGCCTTAGTGTCAGAATAGATTTTAGGTGTTTGTCATGTATATATATAAGAAAGTGAAATAGATTTTCTTTGCTTGGCTGTAATCTCATTTGAACATTGTCGATTTCTGTCCATGTTGTAACACAAACCAAACAATAATAGATATTTGATTTGGTTCATGTTTATAATTTAGTTATTACTAGATTCCATCTTTGTTGGTTCATGGAGATTGTGCTGTGCTGCAGATTTTTGGGTTCATTGACGTGGAGAAGAATGGTAAAATAACTTTTAAACAGGTAGCCTCTCTATCCTCTCTCTACTACATATATATATGTCCGTCTGTATTATGCGTTTATGCATCCTAGTTGAAGGCATGCAAGAGTATTGATAAATAATAATTAATATAGGGAAAAAATATATAATGTCAAAATTTTATTAACCAGACATATTTAATAATGAAAATATTACTAATAAAGCAAAATACCTTTAATTAAACATTTCAAGGATGGTAGTTAAATATTCTATTCCTATTTTCATTTTGATAGAAATGATAGTAAGGGTAAGAACGGGAAGTTTACTAGCACAGAAAAAATTAGAAGGGTAAGATTGGAATTATAATTCATATAAGGTATAGGTGTATTACAGGATTTAAATATGGAATTTATAATATAACGGTAGGATAGTTTAAGTATCAGGTAATTAGTTGAAGGTTGAAAATGGAAGTAAATAGAGAAATAAAAGTAAAAGATGGTTGTAATTGAATAATATATTATGTTGGACATACCAACATAATAGTTGTTATAGAATAAATTACCTGAAAGAAAATTTAAATTACCGAAAAAAAGTTGTAAAGTAATTATAATGCTACTGCTGCTTGTATAATTATTATTTTTATTTATTTATTCATTGTTTTATGTTAAATACCAAGTGATGATAATGCCATTAGGCTAACAGCAGTGATGTCATTGCCTTGTAACAAAGAGATCAAATTCTGAATGTAAAGAAAGATATACAAGTTCAACACAAGTCTGAGCAATAAAGAGATCAAATCTTTCGCAACCCAAGGGATGGGTCAGACCGAAGACAACGAATCCAACAATTTCTCACCACCTGAGAGGAATAGGCAATCCAAGTATGCGCTCCATGCGACAGGGAAACTAAAATGAACATGAGTAAATTTAGTAAGAAAGATATGTTAGCATGTGGTTTGACCGTGGTTACCTTGGATAAAGCAAAATGGAAAAATGGATTTGTGTGACCTACCCCAAGTAGTTGCTAAAAGGTTTTTATTAAGGTGAATTGTGTTAACCATCACTTAACATCTGAGAAAGACAAATTATAGAGACAAGGGTGATATCATTTATGATAGAGAGACAGAGGTCATGACATTAATATTCTTTTTCAAGGATAAAACCACAAAATAACAGTGGTTTATTTTTATTAATGACATTGTTATTTATTATTATTGAACGATAAGATGAAAATATTGGAAAGCAGAGGATTTCAAATTACATTAATACCTAAACTATTGATAGTCGAAATCTCAGTGATGGAGTTATTTTTGTCGAAGAAGTGGCAACATTCTAATCTCCCCATGAAGGAAGGAAGCTTATCTTTTCTCAGTTAAAATTATTGTAATATTTATTCTAGTTTTTGGAATATTTAAGTTTGAGATAGATCAGTTGTTGAAATTACCTTTTATGTATAGTGAAACTTTGTTGTTGACATGCTGCAACTGTCCTTGTGATTAAACTCAAAGAAATCATTGTTGTTGCGTTTGAAACCTTTGGTGCCAAATATATCTGTGTGCATGGCCAATGTGGTGCACAAATTTCTCATGGTTGGAGTATAAATTGCTTGCAGTTCTTGCTTGGATCAGCTCATGTCCTGAAGCAGCCATTCTTCCGACAAGCCTGTGAATTAGCATTTTCCGCATGTGACGTTAGTAAGGAAAATTACATTTCAGAACGACAAGTATGTCTTTCTTTTCTTTTTCTTGATATTTCCCATATATTTAAACTTGACCAAGCTTTAACTTGCTCACTCTTGGTTCCTATATGCATCTTGAACAGTTAGGAGAATCGATTATACAGGCAATCCCAAGCTTAAATGAGCATGAGGTGAGTAATAGATGTCATTTGAAAAAAAAAAAAAAACACTAGGAAAATAGATACTTTGGAGGCTTTCTTTCAACATTTCTTTGAAAAATTTCTCACTTGTTAATTTTTCACTCGAGCTTCATTATACTTGTCACTGCAGAACCATGAACTCTTCATTTTATTTGACGTTGATGGTGATGGGAGGATCAGTAAGGACGATTTTATTACTTGTTTAAGAAAAAATCCGTTGATCATACCACTTTTCTCACCTCAATTAGTGACAAGCTCTCAGAAGTTGGTGCTAGGATGCTAAAGTAAATTATGTGAAGTATCAATTTCATAGGCTGTTCGGTCAATGTGGATCATTTGTGTGTTCCTTGATGGAGGATGAAGCTACCATTGCCAATATTTTAGTGCAGGGGAGATTTCAAATTTCTTTCTCTTTTTTTATTTTTTATTTTTACTTTTGACCTGTATCAGTAATTATGCTCGGGGTTTTGTTTTATATTTTCTTTTTCTTTCCTTTTTTTGTTTGTTCTTTTACCTGAAGAGTTGATGTAAAATGTTGTAGATGGCCAAAAGTATTATCTATGTTGTGCTACAATGGTTAACTCAATGACAAAGGTGTTTGGATGGTTATTTTTAAGAGTGAGAAGATTTTGCATTGCCCTCTCTTTTCTTCCTAGCTCTTCTTTACTTCTATTTTTCCTTTCAGCCAAACAAGACTATAATTGAGCCCCAATTTCAGCTCACATTTTCTGTGATGCCGATGCGTCTCAACTACGATATTTGAGGTGTGTCTTGACTTGTTTTCAGGCTGTTTCCGGGCTTAAGGTCAATGTGGCTAAGAGTGTGCTTGTCCCAGTAGGAAATGTTCAGGATATTTCCTCTTTAGCTATTGTCCTTGGATGCAGGGAGGGTTCATTCCCTATTCCTCATTTGGGCTTGACCCTAGGGGTCTCCTCAAGGATAGTGGAGTGTTGGGATTTCGTGATTGACAGGTATGCAAAGAGATTGGCAGGTTGGAAGAAGCAATACTTGTCAAAAGGGAGTAAAGTTATTCTTATCAAGAGTACGTTGTCGAGCCTTCCCACTTATTTTCTTTCTTTGTTCCAAATCCCTTGTTCGGTTGCAGATAGGATTGAAAAATTCAAAGGGATTTCCTTTGGGGAGGTAAGGACGATGAGTTCAAGTACCACCTTGTTAGATGGGAGGAAGTTTGCAAACCCGTGAAATTGGATGAACTTGGAATAAGACGTTTAGTTCCTTTCAATCAAGCTCTCCTGGGTAAATGGTTATAGGGATATGGAAGGGAAAGACATCGTTCATGGTGGAGGTTAGTTTCTTGTTGGTATGGGGAAGAGGCTGGAGGTTGGTCTACTCGTCCGGTTACCCTGACGGGAGGAGTCGGTATGTGAAAGGCTATTCGGAAGGGATGGGATGTTTTTTCAGCTCATATCAGATTTAAACTTCGTGACGGTCGTTATATAAGGTTTTGGGAAGATCTCTGGTGTGGGGAACAACCACTATCTTGTGCATTTCCCAGCTTATTTAGTATTGTTGTTGATAAACACGCCTAAGTAGTTGACTGTTATCGGCTTGATAGCAACGGGATTATATGGGATGTGCTTTTTCGACACTCTTTTGGGGATTGGGAAATGGACGAGATATGTGTTTTTCTAGATCTTCTGTATCGGCAGGAGGGCGTAGACGATGGTAATGATGTTTTATTATGGGCTTCTTCTTCCCATGGTCGCTTTGTAGTTAGATCATTGTTCTTATGTTTATCAAATTTTGCTTATCATGATTTCCCGTGGAAAACTATTTGGCGATTTATGGCTCCAAATAGGGTGGCTTTCTTTGTTTGGACTGTAGTGTGGGAAAAGATTCTGACAATTGATAATTTAAGAAGAAGGGACAATTGTATTGTTAATTGATGTTGTCTATGCAAGGATGATGAGGAGTCCGTTGATCACCTCCTTTTGCATTGCCCTGTGGCGAATGATTGTTGGAATCTCATTATTGGGTTGTTTGGCATGTGTTGAGTTATGCCACGTTCTACTAAGGAATTAATTTATGTCTGGAGAGGCTGTCGAGTGAGAAGAGACGTTAGCGATTTCTGGAGAATTGTGCCACATTGTGTATGGTGGTGTATTTGAAAGGAGAGAAATAATAGGATGTTCGAAGGGAATGAGACGCCTATAACTATGGTCAAACTTTACATTCTTCGTTCTCTTTTCAATTATGTGAAGATGAGCTTTTGTTTTTCTTCTGATGATTTAATTACTTTCTTGAATTCTTTGGGGCCTTAGCCCCGGTTCCTTTTTGTAATTGGGACGCGTTCCCCTTTTGAACGCCTTTTTTAATGCTATTTTTACTTATCAAAAAAAAAATTCAGCTCACAAAATGGGCTTGAGCCAGGCTTGGACATGTTACATTGTAAAGCTTGACTGGAACAGCTCAACAAAGACAGAATCATAGAATGTCAAATCCAGAGAAATGATAAACTTTTAGAAACCTTTACAAAAAAAAAAAAAAAAAAGCCTTTTAGAAAAGGATCAAGAATTATGGTTTGATGGGTCCTACTGAACATATATTTGTTAACAAAATTGATGATTATTTTTGCTTATTAATAAGGCGAATAATGAGTGTTTATTACAGTGTGTTTTTTATGTTAGAAAAAAATATAATTTTTTTGGTAAATATAATTTTACAGATTTTTCTGTCAGATTTTACCAGATTCTCTCATAGTTTAACCGTCCACCAGTTGACAACGATTTTTGTTGATATCAGCAATTGAAATTTAAAAATACCCATTTTGTCTATATAACATTGTTCTATTGAATTAAAAATAAATCTAGATTTCAATTGCAAAACAATAAATTGCATTCTCTGTTCGGAAAAAAAAAAAAAAAAAAAAAAAAAAAATTGCATTCTCTGTTAACAAAGTATAATTTTTGAAATAAGAGGAAGATATTATGATAAATTTTGTAGCAAGTTTGTGTAATTTATTTTATTTTATTTTTCGAACTAGGATCCTCTCTTTTGTCATGTTATCAGTGCAATAATTTTAAATCATGAATGCAATAATTATGTAAATGTGTTATCTTCTCAATTTAACAATGTTATATAACGTTACAATACAAATGTAATATGTTGCATGAATATTGTATCTCTAATATAAATATTTTATAATTTTTTAAAAATTATTGTTTTAAGTGTTGCAATATTTTGTAAGGTCACTGTGTTGTATTTTGATATATAACTGCATTATATTATGATATAGCTAGTTGCTCCGAGGTCAAAGAAAAGAACGTGCACTTGTCTCTACTTGAGATGAGGTGTGAAGAGTCACAACCAGTTGTTTTTTGTCCACTGTATACCTTTGCCAAGTATGGTCGGCTCTTTATGTGACCTTTCACAATGAGAACCACCCCGATGATAAGATCACATGATAGAAATTGAAAGGTTGAAGTCCCATATGTGTGTGTGTGTAATATATATATAGCAACCTTTCAATTTCTATATATCACACTTGAAAATGATTTATTAAAATTTTAGCTAAAGTTAATTTCTTAATCTTCATGATAAAGATTAAAATTGTTCCCGATCGGGAAAAAAAAAAAAATTTGTTTTTAATGGGATTTTTTGGTCAATCCATATCTGACTAATGGAATCAAATTCATATCAGAATCTACTCCATTTACCGATCCACCTTAACCTTCTTTACAAATGTGGAAAAGTTATCTTTATGTAACTTAGATGTGAAAATCTAGATTGAAGCAAAAAAATGATACCGTGTTGACCCCATCTACAGCTATTTAAAAAGAAATTATCTTTAACAGAACTTCTAACAGTCGAACCAGACACAAAGGGATATTTTAGACTTTTTGCTTATATTAATGGTTTAATAAGTGTGAAAAAGTTAGCTTTATGTAACTTAGTAGCGAAAATCTAGATAGGAGGAACAAAAATGATAGCATGTGAGACCCATGTACGTATATATCCAAGAAAAATTCATCCTTGGTGGGAACACCACACAATGCATCTGGGACTCACCATGTACAAATAGTGGGCCCCACATGCCTTGTGTCTGTTTTGTATTCGGCTAGAGTATTAACGCTATATATTCGACCTTTTTTTTTTTCTTTTCTTTTCTTTTTTCAAGTAAAAAATTGAATTCTCGGTATGAGATATCGCTAAATTATAGATTTTTTTTAATTTAATGTTTATATACATTTGTGTTTGTGTGTTTGTGTGTGTGTGTGTGTGTGTAGAGAGCGAGAGGGGGAGGTGGGGGAGGGATGTTGGCATCTGATGAGAGGGAGGGGGGACATAGAACATCTACAATTGGATGAAGAAACCATCGGATAGTGAATTCAAACCAAATACATAGTTAAGGTTATATTAATAATGAAAAAAAGCTGACGACACCAAATATCAAGAAAATGACGTTGTACTATATGTTTAAAATTCAGGTCCACCACCAACACAATTTGTACAGCGAGATCCAAAGCTCTAAATTTAGAAATTAAGGTAAGCATTGCACGCCGAGTGGTCCCAAACACACCACAATTAGACTTTTACCATTTTACCAATAAGCCCATCATCATACTCTACCTTACTCAGTAAAATTTACTCTCGCCAAGCAATTCCACCTTTCCTCGCTAAATGGGAGTCGCTACTACTCCCAACAAACACACTCCCCACTTCCTCACCCAACAGTGCCACAAAAATTGTAATCAGTGAATGAATTAAAAACTAATACATACACTATATAAATGTACTTATGATAAAACTCTTCTTTGTATGTTAAATTTTTATCAAATATACTGTTATTTTTATTTTTATAAAAGGTGATTTTTTATTTATTTTTTTATTTTTTTATTCTCACGTTTTACTAGAAAGTGAGTATTTGCTTTATCCATGAGCCTTAACTAGCATTTACTACTATTTTTTTCCCCAACTTTTCTAATATGTAGTATTAAAATAATTAATTATACTTTGTTAGAAATATATATATATTTTAAAATACAATATATGCTTACATATAAAGTACCTTATTATAATCACTTATTATACTTTGATTAAAAGATGGACAATACTTGTCTTTATCGGTGAGGATGCTTTTCTTTCAGACTGCTGCGTGAATCAATAACATATGAACACGTCATCTTTAATTACCAAATCAGTGGTGGGGGTACATTGAGTGCTTATCAAATCAGAAATAGTGGATTAATTTCCATCTTTGATTTGATAATTAAAATAACACGTGTTCATTGGTCTACATTAGTGGTCATACTCACTGATGAAAACGTAAATGTAATTATTTTCCATAAAAGATGTCCATTTATAGGTCTTAAACCTGCTAATTATGGTCTTTATGGGCATTTAGACATACCAAGGTAAGTATTTAAACAATAGTTACATGAAATTTTAGTTTAGATAAAATTACCGTAACGACTCACTCCACCACATGGTATGATATTATCTGTTTTGGGTCTGGGTTCGTATTTGTAACGACTCATTCCACCACATAGTATGATATTGTTCGTTTTAGGCCCGAACTCGCACGGTTTTGCTCTTATATTTTATCCCAAAATACCTCATATCAATTAGAGATAACACCACCACATATAAGCACTT